GTTTTTATAAGTAATCACATTCCCTCTGTTCCCAGCAGCAAAAGAGGTGGGGGAGGAGAAACAGCAGGAAACTGGGCTTCCTAGTGAAAGGCTGTGTGGGGGGTGGGTGTCAAGAAAAGTCTGATCATTGGAGAGCATAGCTAGAGAACCGACCACTGTGTGCTCTCCTGCCTAGTGTGGTCAGTTTTAATAGGAAAGCAGGGGGAATGGCAGGAACCCCTGGGATTTCACACAAAGGAAGCGACACAAAGAGAACGGGTTACTTTTTCATACAAGTACATGATACAGTAGGAACATATGAGGAATATGAAATGTTGGGTTAACATATTCTTTAATTATTGAATGCCAGAGTTCATAACCTGCAAACAACCAATTCATTAAGGGATTTTTCACCCACAATCTATATTAACCACCTCCCGTCCGGCCATTGTATATAAACGGCCGGACGCTGGCAGTGCAGGGATGGGTGGTCGTTTATAAACGGCCTCCCCGCACCCTGCTTATGTGCGCTCCCTTGGAGCGCGCAGCACTGCGATCCGGTGCCCGCTGTGTCCTCCGGACACAGTGGAACACCGATCATCGGACGGGACCTCTGTACGAGGTCCCGATCATGTTAACACTGATTGGCCAATCAATGATCACATGCAGAGTAGTAAGCAAGATGTCACTTGTGACATCATTGCTTACTACGTGTGAAATCTGTGAATGATCACAGGAGGTCACATGGTACAAGGCTATTCACAACAGCCTTGTACCATGTGGCAAGCTGTGACCAATCACAGCTCACTCAGTAGTTCTCAATGGCTGCAAGAATGCAGCCAGAGAGAAGAATAAATTATTGCTTTTACAGCCTTTATCACCCCCCACAAGTAGTACAGTGCCACCATGGTGACACTGTACTGCTAGGGTGACAGTATGTAAAAAAAAAAAAAAAAAAAAAATAATATAAAAAAAATAAAACAAATTTTTTTTTAAATGTAAAAAAAAAAAAAAAAAAAAAAAAAAAGGTTTAAAAATTATAATTTTTAAACCTTTTTTTTTTTTTTTTTTTTACTTTTTTTACATTTAAAAAAAAATTTGTTTTATTTTTTTTTATAAGTAAAAAAAAAAAAAAAAGGTTTAAAAATTATAATTTTTGGTTATAAACCAATTTGGGTTATTCTTTTTCTACTAAAAATATAACAGAATAAATTTTGGCCAAGATTTATGATGAAATACTATTTGCAAAATTTTATAAGAAAAACACTTTTTTTTTCAAAATTTTTGGACTTTTTCATTTACATAGCAAAAAAAAAAAAAAAATCCCAGTGGTGAATAAATACCACCAAAATAAAGCTTTATCTGTCTCAAAAGAATGCTAAAAAATTCATATGGCTACAGTGCTGCATGACCGCGCAATTGTCATTCAAAGTGTGATAGCACTGAAAGCTGAAAATTGGCCTGGGCAGGAAGGGGGTAAAAGTGTCCAGACTGGAAGTGGTTAACGATCCCCAACACACTGCACTATGTAGAGGAATTGTTGAGAGCAAGCAGCTGACATTTTTGCGTGGCTGCTCACTGTCACCAACTAAGAAATTGGGGAACTCTTTGAGCTCTGACATAGTGATCACATGCAGGCTGCAGGCTTTACTGACATACACCAAATAAGAATTCCCCTATTCCATAGTTGGTAACAGTGTGGACTTAATATCTCTTATTAATGAAACATCCATTTTTTGACAGTTCACAAAAGCTATTATAATAGTTCACTAATAAGTGTCCGTGCTTCATGACAGTTCCAGCTTAAATATTTAGTGCCACACAAGATGCTCCGAAAATGTGCTTCAAGATGGCGATCTTCCAGGAGAAAAATAGGACACATACAATTTCACACCACACTCACCACATGGTTTGACCCCTTGTGGCAGTGAGTCAATGTGGCATATAATACAAGAGTCATCCTCCTGCTCCTAGGTATGGGTAAACCACCGTTCCTAAATATGTTGCAGAAAACATGTCCTCCATGTATGTGCAGAAAGAGAGAGGAACCTATTGTTTATTCCAACACAAACCTTTGCCTCTTGTTGTTTGTGTCGAGTTGTAGGATAAACAAAAGTTTTCTGAGACATAATTAGGAATGATGGTTTACCCATACCGAGGAGCTGAAGAAAGACCCCTGTGTTGCCTTCACAGGCTAATTGAATTCTAGTTACTTATATGGGATATGTAGTGTATCACTGCCATCTAGTGGCAAACATGAATAGCAGTTCTCCTCTGGATATGTAAATTTCTCAGACAGGAAATGACTTTTGGTTTAGGAAGTTCTTCAGCCATTTTAAATTGCCATTCACTGTGGATGCAGCGTGCCTGCTTCTCTCCCAAGGGGCTTGAGACATCACCTGTAAGTGCCTTTCTGCTGTGTCATCTGTCATTTATGCTACATTAGTTATTCTATGTATACTGATATGCGGTCATTGTATTGTGTTTCAGTTTCACCTATAAAATAAAGTTGGATTCTTTGGTAGACAACACAAGTAGTGGGCTTCTGTTTGCTGGAGATTCTGACAAGGGTTTAGCTGTCCGTTTAGAGCCACACATAGTCAGTGATGTGAGAACGGAACAACCCCCTTTGGGCCTGGACCCATGTACGACCTGGTACATTAACTCACTTGCTAACACAAATGGACAAAACCATCTGGTGAGTGTGGTGTGAAATCCTGTTAGCCTGGGCATCTAGGGCCTCTGGAAATGAAAAGGAAATTCATAAGGTATTCTTGAGGTCAGAAGTCTTCTTTTCTCCCACGATCTAAAGGCATTATGGTTTGTGTACACTCACCAGCCACTTCATTAGGTACACCTGTTCAATTGCTTGGTAACACAAATTGCTTATCAGCCAATCACATGGCAGCAACTCAATGTATTTAGGAATGTAGACGTGGGGAAGATGACTTCTTGAAGTTCAAACTGAGCATTAGAATGGGAAAGAAAGAAGATTTAAGTGACTTTCAACATGGCATGGTTGTTGGTGGCAGACAGGCTGGTCTGAGTATTTCACAAACTGCTGATCTACTGGGAATTTAATGCACAACCATCTCTAGTGTTTACAGAGAATGGTCCGAAAAAGAGAAAATATCCAGTGAGCAGCAGTTTGTGTGAATAAAAATGCCTTGTTGATGTCAGAGGTCAAAGAAGAATAAGCAGACTGGTTGCTGCAACATTCAGATGGTATGGCCAGAATTTGGCGTAAACAACATGGAAGCATGGATCCATCCTGCCTTGTATCAATGGTTCAGGCTGCTGGTGGTGATGTAATGGTGTGGGGGATATTTTCTTGGCTCTAGCAAGGTATACCCAATAAAGATGCCGGTGAGTGTATATGGACCTCAAACAGGTTTGCTGTACTTTTTCAGCAGTAGGTGCTCCCCAGTAGCACCTACTGCTGGATATGTATGGAACCTACTTCCTTCTTCCTCTTATAAGTATTTTGTGATTTACACATAAACACACAAAGAATTGCATTCATAATACAACCACATTTTTCATCCTTGGTATTCTATATCCAAACAGATGTCAGTCTCCACAAGTCACCTGCACACTGCATATCTGAAAAATATCATTACATTTGCTTCTTGAAGGTTTGGACATTTCAAACATAAACTCATGTCCAGTTAAAGACGGTAGCTATAACACAGCAGCTATTCCTCATCAACTAATAAAAATTTGAGTGAATAATCCTGTAAAAAAAAGCAAATATTTACCTGTCCATCAGTTGAAGAGTCTCTTGCAGAGCTACAGGTGCACTTCTGGGCTTTTTCAGCTGCCTGGTCCTCTACTGGGTGTTGTGGTTTCTCCCACTGGCCACTGCGTCACTACTGTGATATGTAGTGACAAAGCATCAGGCAGGTGGAACCACGAGGTGAAGTGGGGGACATGCTACCTGACACACCCAGAAGTGTTGGATAGCAGCAGCGCCTATAGCTCTGCAAAATAATGAAAAACGTAGCTTAGCACCGGGTCTATTGTGAATTGATCCATTGCAGAAATTGCATCATGCAACCATCTTGGCCTAATACATTTTCTCCTCACTGTAACATGATGGGAGTTTTTCAAATAAGCCTAGTACTGAGCTGATGTCAAATATTTTGTGCTCAAAATTGGAAACCGATATACATTTTTAGGAAACACTGCAGAGTCTCAGCTCATTTGTGTGACTTTATTCTTGTCAGTGTCCTTATTAATGGAAGCTCTCAGGTGTAGAAAAAATAAAAAGTATTAAAAAAAAGAGAAAGGACCCAGGATTTTTAATGGGTTACACACGTACTTGGGCCTCATGTACACATGAACTCCCCTAGACGCTCAGCTCTCCTAGCAGCAGAAAAATGCTAAACGTGGCTAGCGTTTACACACATTTTGCCACGTTTTGCATTTTTTGACCAAAATGTTCCTCTCCTAAAAGTGATTTTTCTGTGTTTAGGGGCAGCTAAACGTTCCTCTCCTGAACTCTGGTAAAAGCCTATGTGTATATAGACACACAGGCTTTTATTGAGTGGAGTTCAGGGGCTTTGGGAAAAAAAAAAAGCCAAATGCTCCTAAATTTAAAGTTTAGGAGTAGCATTATACACGAGGCCTTAGAAATGAGAAGGCTATTCAAAGGAAATGAAAAAAAAAAAAAAAAAAAAAAACAACTCAAAACATGAAAGTGGCTGTAAAGGCTCAAGGTTCTTTACCTTCATGCATTCTATGAGCCAATGAGAAAAGGGGGGCAGGGCCAAGCTGCAGCTGTGTGTGTGAATAGACACACAAGGCAGTGGGTGCCCCCATAGCAAGCTGCTTGCTGTGGGGGCACCCGACAGGAAGGAGGGGCCAGGAGAGCCTGTGGGGGACCAGAGAAGAGGAGGAACCGGGCTGCTCTGTGCAAAACCACTGCACATAGAACAAGTAAGTATAGACATGTTTGTTATTTTTAAAAAGAAAAAAATTAAGCCTTTAGAATTGCTTTAAAATATGGCATACATGAACTATTAAATGTTTATTCTCTTTACCTTTTCATAATATTGAATATTTTTGTCAGCCATTCCCATGAGCAGCTGGCGAAAATCTTGCCTCTTGTTATTCTGCCACCTTTCCATGTCTGCTTTCAAGTCAGCATTGAAGCATTCTACTTTGTCCTGGCACTTCTCTACTTCAGTTGGCCCCTGAAAGACAAAAATGATGCATATCTAAATTGTTTGTAAAGGCTATACAGAGTCATTTCTAAGATAATTAAATTTGCACTTCTTTTAGCTAACCTATTCATGTTCAGCAGCAAATCGAACCTTCATCACCATGTTCAGCAGCAAATCGAACCTTCATCACCAGACCAAATTTTGATTTTGGTTTGCAGTGGTTTACTCAATAGTGACTTTTGAACAGCTTTATATACCAAAATGTTTTTAACACCCCCTTTAACACAGGGCTTGACAAACTTGCTTTGAATCTAAGAGCCAGCTAAAAACGTTAGCAGCCAAACTTCTGTACCCTATATTTTACACCCCTCTAGGTTATCAGTTTAGCATTACGGAGGAGGTCTGGTGCTAGAATTATTGCTCTACTTCCTCATATGTGGGGGTGGGCCTCAAAATAGTTTTTTTTTTGGGGGGGGAAAAAGGGGGGGGGGGATTTTATGTGTTTTTTTTTTTTTTTTTTAACATCAGTCAAAAAGTCTATGTGATGATTTTTTGGGTGACAGGTTCTCTTTAATGAGACATGCAGGGTCTAAAAAGCCCCTGCATTGTCTCCCCTGTGCTCCACTGAATGTAATGCAGTGCAGATCGCACTGTATTACATTCTTTCCCGGCCATGCTGTTCGGGGAAAACTGTCAACGGAGACCCGGAAGTGATATCATGTCACTTCTGGTCAGGAACAAGATGAGGGGGGAGAGCAGATGTGTGTCCGCTCTCCTCCCTCCCCTCCACCCTGCGGTGCCCACTATGCCGGTCCCGGGCCTACAGATGGGCAAGCAGAGTTCAGGATACATAATGGGGGCCAGGGGTCAGAAATCATGGAGTCCCATACAGCCTGATGGAATCCCCAACCCTGTCCTGACACCTGGGGGGAGGGGGGAAGAAGTGGGGGGAGTGAGGAGGTGAGAAAAGAGGGATGCGAGAGAGGGTGACGAGTTGAGAGAGGGGGGTTAGAGAAAGGGGGATGAGAGGAGGGGATGTTCCCTGTTCTGTGGCTGGACACCAAGCTCTCCGATGTCTCCATCCTGTCCTCATGTAAGTGGGTCCGTGTATGCAGGGAGGAGGACCGATCACATTTCACCAATCTGGGAAACTGGACTGGTAAGAAATTGGTGAAGAGAGTAACGTGAACAGAGATCGCTCTGCAGGCAAGTTTGATGGAGTATGATCTGTGCTGCACTACAAGTAGAGGTACAGTGATGGAGCCTGCATGTCCCGGGCATTGGGCAGTACAAATTGTGCATCCCCTGTAACAGTGAATGGGCTGATAAAAACCCAGGCGCCAGGACACAATTTTTTTTCACTATGGCGACCTGACATCTGGGATTTGTCGAGCCCTGTTTTAAGTACATATTCTTCAGGACCTTTCTTATTTAAATAAAATCATAATGAGCAGAGAAATTGACAAAAATGCAAACAATATGCAGATTTAGATATTTATTTTATTTAGATAGACCAGATATTTTTGCTAATCTATTTTCTACAGGGACCCCAAATATTCCCAGGTTTTATTAAATACACAACCTATGGTTGATAAACAAGTGTGTATATTTTAGATTTCTAAATATTAGCCATTTACCTGGTTTTTTTTTTTTCGAAATGGCCTGGGATGATGATAATGTACAGCAGGATCATTGCAGACAGGTTGGTAAAAGAGAGGGAATTGTCAGTTTTAAAATTTATAGGAGGTCTGATCAATAAAATGTTCTTCTAAATTGCATGTTTGTGCAATGACACATCACCCCCCCCCCCCCATCATTCATAGCAGTGTCCTCAGGCCCGTTTACGTCACCCCATACCCTCCCCCCCCCCCCCCCCCCAGCAGTGTCCTCTGCCCCCCCTTCACATCACTGCCCCCCCCCCCTTCACATCATAGCACTCATAGTTGTGACCTCTTCCCCCATTCACATCACAACACCTCAGATCACAAGGTCCTCTGGTCCACTGCTCCCCCTTCACATCACAGCAGTGTTCTCTGGTCCACTACCCCCCCCCCTTTCACATCACAGCAGTGTACTCTGGTTCACTGCCCCCCTCCTTCACATCCCAGCTGTTTCTTCTGATCCATGCCCATCCCCCACCACCTTCACATCACAGCAGTGTCCTATGGTCCATTGCGCCCCCCACCATCACATCATAGCGGTGTCCTGTCATCCACTGTCCCTCCTTCACTTCACAGCAGTGTCCTATTGTCCACTGCCCCCCCCCCCCCCACCATAGCGGTGACTTCTTATCCATCCCCCACCTTCCCCCTTCACAGAGGTGTCCTCTACCCCTTTACTTTTCTACTTGGGCACACAGTAGAGAGAAAGAGGTTGTACAATTCTGATCGGTGAGTGGGAGCTGCCAGAGTTAACTATTGATATTGCCAAGCTAATGATTGGTTGTTAGGACATCCCTGTGTCCCAGGAACCAATCACCTGCTAGTTAACTTGAAATCCAACGCCGGCAGCTCCTGCCCACCCTTCAGAAATGTACAACCTCCCGCTCTGCTGAGAATGACAGGCTGAGGCTTCGAGGAAAAGTCAGCTCCTAAATGGTGGGACTGCAGCAGTCCAAATAGAGGCTGCAGCAGTGGGACTGCAACAGTCCGGTGGGACTGCAGCAGTCCAAGTAATTTTGACATGGAACGTGGTCTGCAATTTAGTGATGCCTGGCTTAGAGAATAAATATTTCTAACCTAGATTTATGCATGTGTGTCTTTACAACACCACACACTGCACAGAAAGTGGGCAGATACACACTCCTGCCAGGTTCCAGCCGCTGCTAGTAGAGATCTGTGGCACAGAACACCGAACCGCTTTACCAGACTATTAGCAATCTGGAGCTGGAAGACAAGGACTGAGCCATCATTCTGCAATTCCCATTGAATCCACTTACTGGTTACTCCCTTCTGCATAGTGGCTGTGTATAGAGCACCCTACTTATGGTTGCATGGGAGTGTAATACAATGTTTGTGTTTAGGTGAATAAAATATTTGTTTTTGCACCCGGTCTGTGTGATTTCTTCTTTCCTTTGGTCATACGTACTTGCAAATGCCTCCCTCATGTAGACCATTGTTTCTCGACCTTTTTTCAGTTAAGGCACCCTTTAAAATTCAGCACAATCTCAAGGAACCCTTTCAAATTCTGGACAATCTTGAGGCACCCATTGCAAAGATTAAAAGAAAAACTAAACTAATAGTTTTGCAGAACGCAGCAACATCTGTACATATGAGACACCCAACGTTAGAGGCGATTTATTCTTCCTAAGCAAATACACCTTTGTGCACCGGTACTGAATATTAATCCAGTGTTTCTCTTCTCGCTCAGTATCGCTCTGTCACTCAGCTAATGTAACCCCAATGCTGATGGAGAGGAGCAGGGGAGGGGCAAACAAGGATGTTGTGCAAGGGCCTAATGTCCTTCTTATCTACTGATGACATCATTGGTTTTGTATGTGGTCGGCAGCTAAAAAGTTGTAATGGTGCACAATGAAAACCTGTGGGTTAGTGTAACTAAAAGACAAGCTTGACCCACCCACTGGCTTGTACACAATTTTTGGCCAATTTTGATGCATTTCGACAAAGCACCCCTGAAGGTACTTGAAGGCACCCTGGCTGAAAAAGGATGTTATAGACATTCAAAAGTCCTAAGACTGCTGATGGACGCTGCCATCTTGGATGTGATTACAGCTGTCCCTGCAGAGTCGTCATATCATATCGTATTCTGCTACACTCCATCCCTGGCAGTACATAAAAGTTTATGTAAGAAGATGAAGGGAAACATAAATGCTGGGTCAGCACAGACAATTATTAGATCCTCCCAAAAAGGGAAACGTCGTTTTATGCAGAAGTCACATTTTGTAGCAAGTTCAAAGGCTTATTACACATCAATAAATATATAATAGAATGGAAACTTTTTTTTATTATAATTATACTGTTAATTACAAATAAACTTATTGGACATCTTATTCCAAAACCACAGGCATTAATATGGAGTTGCGCCCCCCCCCCCCCCCCCCCCCCCCCCCCCCCCCCCCATTTTTTTTTTTCATTAAAACTTGCATATACACTGCTCAAAAAAATTAAAGGAACACTTTGAAAACACATCAGATCTCAATGAGGAAAAATATCATGCTATGGACTGGGTAATGTGTTAGGAACATAAGGATGCCCCATCGTTTGATGGAAATGAAAATTATCAACCTACAGAGGAATGAATTCAAAGACACCTCGAAAATCGCAGAGAAAAAAAAAATGATTCAGCAGGCTAGTCCATTTTGCTGAAATTTCATTGCAGTAACTCAAAATGGTACTCCGTAGTTTGTATGGCCCCCACGTGCTTGTATGCATGCCTGACAATGTCGGGGCATGCTCCTAATGAGACGATGGATGATGACCTGGGGTATTTCCTCCCAGATCTGGAGCAGGGCATCCGCTGAGCTCCTGGAGGTTCACCCTATTTGTCCTGTTGTTTTTTAATGAGCTAATTTAAATTTTTTTTTTATTTTTTGACAAACGAAAACAAAAAAGCATAGCTATGCCCAGCGGGTGAAAAACCAGTTCATCTTGATACGATGAACAAAGTAGCTCTCTAAATACAAGAAAGAGAATGAGCACGTTACCTGCCATGGGGGACTATCAGGGAAATCCTTCACAGAAACAAGAGTCATTATGATATGAAATACCAGGAGACACATTCCCAGCAGAGAAACACTACGCAACTCTAATCTAGTGAGTCACCTGATAAAATAAATAAGGATTCTGTGAACGATAACCACGGTTCCCATGTTTTAAAAATTTTTTTTAGGGTATCCCCTGTGCTTATGCATACATTTTTTCCTCCTCAAAGTAAAGTTAACAGCGTCCTTCCATTGTGATATGTGGGGGGGGAGATTAAAATCTACAGGTAATGTATTTTCTAGGAAAATGCGCAGAAAAGCCAGTTTGGAATCAGTAGGACTACTAGTAGAGCAAATACTGTTAAGCACCTGAATCTATTTCTCCTGTTTACCATTGTCACTCAAAGTGAAATAAAATCCTAAATTTTGGGTTGTCCTCAGAAAAGTAATAGAAGGAAAATCTTCCAATGGGGACAGTAGTTCTTGTGACCTGGATGTCCCCAAGGAATTCCCTTAATTTGAAGATTTCCTCACGTCTTATTTGGTTATGGGATAGGAAGTTAAGGGAATTCTCCGCAATGGGACATAGATGGCAAAAAAAAAAAAAAAATATCTGACAAAAGGTTATAACTCTCCCTTGCTCTATCCAAAATGAAGGAAAAAAAATAAAAAATTTGCCTATAGTTCTACTTTAAAACCCCTGTCATTTTGCCAGCTATATTCCACTTGGGAGATTTCTCTTCACTTCCTGTCCTGTAGCCATGACAGGATACAAAAGGTGAAAACTCTTCGAGGTGAGGAAAATCTCCTTTGAGACAGCTATCACCATAACGAATGTCCCAATAGGAAGATTGCCCCCTCTATTCCTGTCCTAGTGACAACTCAAACATTTTGGATTTTGCCACCACTTTCTTTCCCAGTGATCACCAGAGCAAACGGAAAGTAGAAATCTCCCTAGCTGCGACAAAGCAATCAATAGTTGATAAAGGAAAAAAAAAATTGTTACATTTAGATATACTTTAGAGTTCATTTTATAAAGTCCTGCTCGATGTATTTTGGAACAGGCATACATCTGCAGCGTGCGTGTACAGGACTACAAATGAATTACGCTCCACTCAGATTTCAAAATTATAGTCCTGGCTCTGACTACAGGGCTTTCATGTAGTCAGCTCACCCCTGTTCAATACACAATCATGGGATTAGGCAGATTCATACTGAAATTCAGTCACTAAAATCTTAACAAAAAAAAACACCATGAAATTTAATGAGGCTCCTCGAACATATGCAATCAGAAATAAAAACTCACCCCAGTTCTTTCTTCTCTTCTCAAGGCTGCAGCGTCCAGTTTAGCCTCATATTCTGCCTGCACTTGATCCCTTTTCTTTAGTACATTCTAGAAATACAGTTATTAGTTATCAGCTTGCGGGATGTGTTCTTGCATAGATAACTTTCTATTAAAAAACTGAAAAAAAGAAACAAGCCAGCAACTCAAGAAAATGAATGTGTGACTGTATCTTTAGATCCTTAGTTCGGACTTCTTTTTGAACATAAATAGCACAATAATTTTTTAGGGCTCATTCACACAAGGTGTGCTGCTTAGCAAAGTCCCACTGCAAGACAAGGCAATATGATAGACTCTCTTCTCTGTATTAAGGTAAAAAATGTCTCAGTAAATGTGTCGTCCTCTGACCTCTGTTCTGTTTACCGTCTTCACCTGACTCCTATATTGATCCAGCACTGTGCCCATCTGCAGCCAGTGTTGCGCTCTTTCCCTCTTCACACAGGCACAGAGGCAGCAGTCAATTAAACCCTTTGAGGAGGGAGCAGGGCCCAGCTGTACTGTGTGTATCTACAGACGCACACAGTCCGGCTCAGAAGTGATCCCACAGGTGCACCTATGGTGGCACACAAAGAAGAAGAGGAACCCAGAAGAGGAGGATCAGGGCCGCTCTGTTACAATTGCACACAGCAGGTAAGTATAACATTACTAGTATAAAAAAAAAAAAAAAAAAAAAAAAAAAAACAGTATATACCATAGTAAGTGCTATAACTTTCACACAAACCTATCAATATACACTTATTGTTTTTTTTGTTTTTTTTTATTAAAGACGTGGCAGACTATATTATTGGCCAACATTTATGAAGAAATTTGATTTTTTTTTTTCTAGATATCTTCTGTAGCAGAAAGTAAAAAATATTGTTTTTTTTTCTTCAAAATTTTCAGCCTTTATTTGTTTATATCACAAAAAAAAAAAAAAAAAAACCAGTGGTGATCAAATATCACCAAAAAAAAAAAAAAAGGTCTATTTGTGTGAAAATTTGTTTTCAAATTTTGTTTTGAGTACAGTGTTGCACAACTGCGCAATTACAAGTTAACCGTTTCCCGACCGCCCTATAGCAGAAATACTGCTACAGGGTGGCATGAGTGCACAAAATCACGTATATATACGTGATTTTGCATTTCCGGGTAGGGGGCGTGCGCAAACTGTGTGCGCGTTACCCACACTGCTGTTCACGGCTGTCAATCATAGAGTCAGGCCCGGTAATTACTCGCTGGCGACCGTTGATTTCCAACGATCTCCGATGGGGAGGAGAACTGTTTTGTTTACTAACAGTTCTCCTCCCTGTCAGCTCGGGTACACTGCTCTGGATGGCTGGGCACAGCACAGCCATTCAGAGCAATGTGATTACAGTGAAGCACACTGACGCTGCCCCTAGTAAAACACTCCCAGTACACAGTTAACCCTTTGATTGCTCATGTTAACCCCTTCCTGCCCAGTGCCATTAGTACAGTGTTAGTACTTTTTTTTTTTTTTTTTAGCACTGATCACTGTCTTTGTGTTGCTGGGGATGTCAGTGACAGCAAGTCAGTTCCCCCTAGTGTCAGAATGTCCGTCGCAGTTCCGCTAGAAGTCACTGATCACTGCCATTACTAGTAGAAAAAAAAAATCACAGTATAAACACCATTTGTAAACGCTATAACTTTAACGGAAACCAATTAATTTACATGTATGGGGATTTTTTTTGTAGCAAAGATGTCGCAGAATACATTTTGGCCTAAATTTATGACGAAATTAGATTTTTAAAATTTTTTTATTGGACATGTTTAATAGCAAAAAGTCCAAAATATTGTTTTTTTTCAAAATTGCCGGTGTTTTTTTTTTTTTATAGCGCAAAAAATTAAAAAAAAACGCACAGGTGATCAAATACCACCAAAAGAAAGCTCAATTTGTGGGAAAAAAGGACATAAATTTCATTTGGGTGTAGTGTTGCATGATCGCACAATTGTCAGTTGAAGTAACGCAGCGCCGTAACGCAAAAAAATTGCCTGGTCAATAAGGGGGGTAAATCCTCTGGAGGGCAAGTGATTAAAGTAGCACAGTGCTAAACAGCAAAAAAAAAAAAAAAAAGGCCTGATCATGAAGGGGGTAAAATCTTTCAGAGCTTAGATGGTTAACTAGCACACATAGGGTGTTTTTTTACTTTAATGCACTAATCTTTTAGACTTTAGAACTACTTTAAGATTACACAAGCTGGCCATGTCAGGATGTAGCAGAACATCTCTTAGCTAGAGGGTGGTATTGTTTGTTGGAGTGCTTGACAGGAGTACAGCTTAACCACTTCAAATCTGGACACTTTCACCCCCTTACTGTCCAGGCCAATTTTCAGCTTTCAGTGCTATCACACTTTGAATGACAATAGAGCGGTCATGCAATGCTGTACCCATCTGAATTGTTTTGCATTTTTTTGAGACAGATAAAACTTTATTTTGGTGGTATTTATTCACCACTGGGATTTTTATTTTTTTGTTATATAAATGAAAAAGTCCAAACATTTTGAAAAAAAAAAAAGTGTTTTTCTTACAAAATTTTGCAAATAAATAATCTTCCTTCATAAATCTTGGCCAAAATGTATTCAGCTATCTTTTTTGTGGAAATAAAATAACCCAAAATTAGTTTATTATCAAAAATAGTATTTTTCAAAATTTGTTTTACATTTTTATTTATTTTTTTTATATGATTAATTTATGGTTTTTTTTTTTTTTTACACTGTCACCCTAGCAGTACAGTGTCACCATAGTGACACTGTATTACTTGTGGGGGTGAGATTTTTTTTTTTTTTTACATGGATTACTTTTACACCCATGAAGGCTGGAAAAGCAATCATTTCTCCCTTCTCTCTGGCTGCATTCTTGCAGCCATTGAAAAATACTGTGAGCTGTGATTGGTCACAGCTTGTCACATGGTACAAGGCTGTTGTGAATAGCCTTGTACCATGTGACCTCTGTGAGCATTCACAGATTTCACTAGTAGTAAGCAATGATGTCAGAAGTGACATCTTGCTTACTACTATTCTTGCGATCACTGATTGGCCTATCTGTGATCACATGATCAGGACCTCACACAGAGGTCCCGTACAGCGAATGGACACAGCGGGCACCGGATTGCGGTGCCACGCGCTCCCAGGGAGAGCGCACAGGCAGGGAAGCGGGAGGATGTTTATAAACGGCCACCCGCTCCTGCACTGCTCCCGTACGGCCGTTTATATACATGGGCCGGATGGGAAGTGGTTAATTGCTTGTGACAGAGAATTTAACTTGTACGAGAAAGCTAAAGCAAACAAGGCCCATGTAAACATAATATAAATGAATTGTTCAATAGAGAAAATATAAATACAGAGCAAGCAGGAATAATCACCTTCATAGATTCAGAGTAAAGGATATACTCTCTGAGCACGGGAAGGAAGTCTTCGGTCATGTCCTCAGTCAGCTCTTCTAGTGCTGTGCTGCAGTTCCCAACACAGGCAGACACTCCCTCTAGTGGCTCGCTTAGCTCTCCTTCCAGAGCACTCCAGGTAGAATAGACCGGACCATACTCCCGAAGCTCCACTAGATATTCTAACATAGACAACAAAATCTTTTTTCAGCCAAGAATAATCTTGCACATTTACAGCAACAATAAATGGCAAATAATAATACGAATTCTGCATTTTGAATATTCAGCAGATACACATACTGGGATTTAACTGTCCTGTGAAACTGACACGTTATATTTATTAGTGGAAGCAATAGTAAATGACTCTAGACCAGGGGTGTCAAACTGGCGGCCCTCTAGCTGTTGCGAAACTACAAGTCCCATCATGCCTCTACCTTTGGGAGTCATGCTTGTAACTGTCAATCTTGCAATGCCTCATGGGACTTGTAGTTTGGCAACAGCTGGAGGGCCGCCAGTTTGACACCTGTGTTCTAGACTGTATCTAAATAAGATTTGTTGCTCAAAACATATCACACTTCTGTGAAAGAAGAATATAATAGAGTTGCTTGCTAACAGAACCACATGAACACATGAGTTTTTTTCTTTTAGTGAAAAATGTATCAGTTTAAAAGCTAGTACTAAATGTCTGATTGACAAACACTTAAAATAGTTTTTTCTATTATATAGTACTTACTGCTTTTCTACCCTGTGTTTAATATTTTTGCTTTTGTATCTGCACTTTTTCATTCATTTATATTTTAGACATCCATAGTGTGTTTCCTTGCTTTGATTCAAAGACTTAGAAATGAACATAAACTAAATCAATTATTACAACACATTTGCTCACACATAAAAAAGTTCTAACACAGGTAGCTCTTCTCAGCTCTAAGGATGTACCAATTTTGTGCATATACTTACCAATCTGATGTTGCTACAATCCGGTTATGTGATCTTCCTGGCAGCAGCTGCAGGGGAGAGGAGAAATTGCTGACAACAGCTGCGATGCCTAGGCGGTGACATCACCCATAGGCTTACTATGGGGCATCTGTTGTCAGCTGTCCCTTCTCTCCCCTGAAGCCGATCATGTGACCGGACCAGAGCGCCTTCGAAGTAGGTAGATATATACATCTTCCTTCTACAGGCTAGTTAGAATAGGCTTTAGAAAGGGGGTAGAAAAGGTTTCAGCTTAGTTACATCATTCCTGGACTTCCACTTTAAATACAAATTAACCTTTTTGGCTACAACCACCAAACAACAAGCTATGATCTTTGTCAAAGGGAGCGTCCCTAAATACTGACTTACTAGGGTAACCCCCTTGTGATAGCAACAAAGTAAAATAAAAAAAAAAAAAAAGGAAAAAAAATAAAATAAAATTATAACATTTTTCAATTAAGCTTTGGCAATAAAACCTGGAAGTTGATTGGTTTCTATGCGAGCTGCACCAGATTTAGTAAATATCCCCCCTTATGTTCTGGGGGTTTTAATTTTATAGCCAAAAAAATGCAGATTTAAACGTGTGCAAAAAAAAAAAAAAAAAAAAATCAGAAAATTGTCCTAGAGGAGAACTAGATGTTTAGCAGAAACATCCAAATGGTACTAAAAGATCAGAATATATATATAAAAAAAAAAAAAATGTAATTCCTACATACAGAGCAAAACATACCTACTTCCTCTTTAATAATGCGTTGTGCTATCCTGTCAATAGTTCCAAGTTTTAATGCAAAGGTGTCCAAATACTCTCCTATGGCTGAAAATTCCAAAGGGCGGTTTCGGAGCTTGTATCCACTTGTTACATATCGCACAGACTCTCCCATCTTTGAAAGCAGAGTGGCCCCCTGTTTTTTGTGACTGTTCAGATCCTACGTGTAAATACAAATAGATTAGTTCCTCATTTCAGATTAAAATATTTTAAAAAGTCATAAGATTACCCCAATAATAAAAAAAACGTACAAAGGGATATTTATCTGAAAGCCTGGGCAAGAACAAGTAAATGATCCCTTTGTGTACTTTTAGGCAACAGATCCAGACCTGCTGATTGACAAATACAGTGTGAGAATCAGGCCATCTCCCATATAATGGTTTATGATATGTTGGCCTTTAACAATAGTTCTATATTTAGGTTGTATCTATATTATCAACCAATAACTGTGGATTTGAAGCTGGCTACAGGGCAACATCTTAAAGTGAACCTGTCAAGTTATAAAATTGAAAAAACTGAAGAGAGTCCAAAAGTGCACTTGTTTTCAGCTCTGTTCACACTAGTGCAATTTCAGATGTGACAAAATTACATGACAATGGAAATCACATTGTTTTCAATGGTGCCTGTTCACATCAATGCAACTCAGCATTGTGTGATTTTAAAAGGTTCCGGTACCACTTTTGTGCAATTGCAGATCAATTTTTGTCCCGTAGAATATATAGGCCTTACCAAAGTTGCATCCAAGTTGCGCTACATAAAATCACACTGAAATTTGGATCAAAATCTGATCACAACAGTGTGAACCTAGCTTTATAATGACAGATTTTTATGCTGTTAAGCAGACTGAATGAGAAAAAACAAACAGCATTTTCCATCCACACAAGCAAGGTGAATAGAGGAATCCTCCATGCTGGGACATTGTACTCTGACAGTGGGACTCTGATCAGTGGGGGCCGGCTGACCAAGAAAAATTTTCCAGCAAGCATGTTCAACAAAAGTCAATCTAATGATCAATGTCCATCAAACAGGCATGACATACCTAAATTTGTCCGGTCCCTGCTGAAATGATCCATCTTTGGCTAGCTTAACTATTTCATCTCTGGAATATTTACCTCCCTTCATGACCAGGCCATTTTTTGCAATGTGGCACTGCGTTATTTTAACTGACAATTGTGCTGTCATGCAACACTGTACTCAAATTAAATTTATGTCCTTTTTCCCCACATTATAGAGCTTTCTTTTGGTGGTATTTGAACACCTCTGTGGTTTTTACTTTTTGCGTTATAAGCAAAAAAAAAGACTGACAATTTAAAAAACAAAAAAAAAAAACCAATATTTTTTTATTTTCTACTATAAAACCTATCCAATAAAAAAATTAAAAATCTAAATGTCTTCATAGAGTTATGCTGAAATATATTATGCTACATATTTTTGGTAAAAAAAATCCAAATAAGGAGTAAATTGATTAGTTTGTGCAACAGTTATAGCATCTACAAACTATACAAACAAATTAGTGCAGTGCCTTCCAATTACCAGAAAAAAATAATTGTAAATATGTACACATAACAAAATTTACATAGTCTGGCTGAACAAAGACAAAAGTTCATCCAGTTCAACCATTAAAAAAAAAAAAAAAAAAAAAAAAAAAAAAGTTATAATCCTATACACAGTTGATCCAGAGGAAGGCAAAAAACCCAGCAAAGCACAATCCAATTTCTTCCTGATCCCCGGAGAGGCAATCCAATTCCCTGGATCAACTTTACCTATAAATGTTAGTATCCTTTTATATACCTATAAATGTTAGTATCCTTTTATATTCTGTGTATCCAAGAAAAAATCCAGGCCTATTTTAAAGCAATCCACTGAGCTGGACACAACCAACTCTTGAGGGAGTCTATTCCACATTTTCACAGCTCTCACTGTAAAGAAACCTTTCTGTATTTGGAGATTACATTTGTTTTCCTCCAGATGTAAAGAGTGTCCCCTTGTCCTCTGTGATGACCTCACGGTGAATAACTCTACACCGAGTTCACTATATGAACCACTGATGTATTTATTCATATCCCCCCTTAATCTCCTCCTCTCAAGAGAGAATAAATTCAGTTCCTCTAAATCTTTCCTCATAGCGGAGCTCCTCCATATAGAAAAACTAGTGCATAATAGTGTATATATAAAGTACCATATATTTTGATGTAATATAATCTTTCCATATTGTATCTTCACACGACATATAGCAGTGTTCCTCCACCAACACCCAAGTTGTGCTCTCACCTGGAGCTTTTTGAGCTCACATTATACAATGTTTTGGTCACACCACACCTGTGTTCTCTAAATGGGACAAAGTAAGATGCAGGTTCCCCTGTCGGCACTCCTTCCCACAACAGGCTTTAAATTTTGTCAACCTTCACCTTCTCCTCCTCTCCCCAGCGAAAATGCCACTCACATGCTTTTGGTGCTAAATCGCACCAGATGTGTACCGCATAAACTTCCTCCGTTTTCCTATACTCTGACTCCGTGTAGCGTTGTGATGTCCATGCTGACAGAAGAGAGACCTGTGTTTACACACAGGTCTCTCCCCTATCAGCTTTGCCGGCGTTCACCGAGACCCGGCCGGGAATCGCTGGCTGGGACCTGGTGACTGACATCCCCAGCCGCCAATAGCGTCGAGGGTAGGGCGGTGCACGTACCCAGAAATTCAAGGGTAGATGGCAAGTGGTTAAAGTATTTGTGAAGGTATTTTTTTTTAACCTCTTCCCTACCGTGCTATAGACGAAAGACGGCTACAGAGCGGTTGTCTAGTTCTGGGATGATGTCCATGGACGTCATTCCAGAACAAGTCCCCTGCGCTCCCCCAGCGCCTCTGGTGATAGCTGTGTCCTACGGACACAGCTGATCACATGATACGGTAAACGGCCAATCACAGCGGCCTTTTACCACGTGACCATGTGCGGGTAAATACAGTTACCGGTTATCGGCTATACTAGTGATAAACAGCAATTGTCAGAAAAGTGATCGGCACGGATTATCCGTGCCCTGATGATCAGTGCCCATCAGTGCCACCCACCTGTACCCATCAGTGCTGCCCACCTGTGCCCATCAATGCCACTCACATGTGCCCTGCAGTTTCACCCAGCAGTGCTACCAGTCAGTGCAGCATCATCAGTGCCCATCAGTGCACATCAGTGAAGGAGAAAAATTACTTCTTTGCAAAATTGTATAATACAAAAAAAAAAGAAAAACTTTTTTTTTTTACTCTTTATTTGTTTATAGCGCAAAAAATAAAACACCCAGTGGCGAGTACATACCACCAAAAGAAAGCTCTATTTGTGTGAAAAAAATTATAAAAATTTCATATAGGTACAGTGTTGCATGACTGCGCAATTGTCATTCAAAGTGCAACAGTGCTGAATGCTGAAAATTGACCTGGGCAGGAAGGGGGTATAAGTGGTTAAATACCAAACATGCCATACTTACCTACTCTGTGCATGGGTTTTGCTCACAGCAGCCCCGATCTCCTCTTTTTGGGTCCTCAGCTGGCACTCCAGGCCCCAATGGTCTGCTGAGTGCCCCCAGAGCAAGTTGTGCATGCTCGCTCCCAAGCCACCTCTGTGTTTCTCGCCCTTACCCCCCGCTCCCTCCTCACTCGCTGAGTGACAGCAGTGGGAGCCACAAAGATGCAGAGACAGGGAGAGCTTCTGCTCTCATGCACATTGCTGGATGAGGATCAGGTGAGTATAAAGGGAAGGGGGGGGGGGGACTGCATACTGAAGGTTTCAGCCTTTAAAACCACTTTAAAGGCATGATGTGAATGTAAAAAGCTGTGCAAACTACCATCGCTATAAAAGATAAAAAAAAGTTTTGGCTGGAATTCAGAACCTTTTGGTAGCAGCCAAAAAAGTATAAGAGAAAACCCTAGAAGAGGGTAATCCACCTTTTTCACAGAACTACAGAGTCGTCTACTGAATGCCAACCTTAGATGTTAGAAAAACATGGAAGTGCTCATTGAAGGAGAGAACAGGGTGGTCTGCAATCCTCTTAAGAAACTTGTCCAAAGCTCTTCTTCTGGTCTCCACAAACTCTTCAGAAAAACGGTCCACTACGCCTTTCACTACAAATTTCTCTGGAAGAGGCTGAAATGAAGACAGAAAACCACAAGTTTGTAGCAATACACATACAGTCAATATGAACAGTGCAAACATCTAGAGAAAGACATGACAATATCCATTTATAAGTAACTAATTAAAGGAAACCTTTTGTGAGAAATAATGGAGGCTGCTAATGTTCATTTCATCTCTAAAAACGTTAGTTGTCTGGTCATCATGTTGGTCCAATGACTTTATAGCTCAACTCAAGGCAACAAAAATAACGAAAACAGTCTTGTTTTCCTTTCCTTCAGGCTCAATTCACACTTCTGCAACTTCAAAATCGTGCGAACATCGTAAGTATGGCATGTGTTGGCATGTTCGTGCAAACAGTCGCACATATATGAACAGTACTCATTGGGAAACATGGGGTGTGACTTGTCATGCGACTTTGGACCGAAAAGTCGCATGACAAGTTGCATTAGTGTGAATGGCCTCTAAGTCTGACTTTGTAATCTACATGATTGTTCTGGGTGAGTGTCAAGGTCCTACCTTTTCCCAGAGGTTATGTTACTCCATGTGCTGGCATCCATCTTGGATTTCTGCTGAGAGCATGGTGGGAATCTTTTATGCCTTCAGGTCTCTGAGGTCCATCCCCCAGAGGGGTGTGGCTGATTACATATAAGCCTGTGGTCCGCACATGCTCTTTGCACTTGTGTCTTGGTGTTGCTATTACTCTGTTCTGACTCTCGTGACTCTCCTGGAATCTGACTCGGCTTGTTACTCGACTATTCTTTGTGTTCTCCTTTGATCTGACCCTCTGTTGCTGAACCCGGCTCGTGACCTGTGATTCTCGTCTGCTGTCCTGTACCGTTTTGTCCCGTTGTTGTCGACCCGGCCTGCCTGACTATTGTCTTTTCCACCAGCTACTCGCCATTGGCGGTGGCCATTACCGCAACTGAGGTGTCTTGGGGGCCGCGAACTGGTTCCTGGCTGCGTCAAGTCCATCCCCACCATCAGGGGCCCTGGTGAAGGGCAGCCTGGGACTTAGACTCCGCGCCCTGAGGGACTTCGGTCTGTGGGTGGTGGTTGTCGTCAGCCAGTGCGTTACATTGTTATTAGACCTGCCTGTCCGTTCCTCAGCTCCTGCCCTGACAGTGAGTGACCCAGGGAGGCAGGCAAGCAGCATTTTTACACAAAACTGGCAATGGTAGTCTGAAGGGTTATCTCGGTACAGGTTCTGTCTAATACCAGTTCAATATATAATGCACAGAAATGATGTCAGTTAAAGCTCATCTAAACCAAGATTAAAACATAAAATTATTGAAGCTTGCCAGTTGTTAGATGTACTTCAGTATGTAATTGGAGTCTTAGTGCGTCCTGGAGCGACAGATGCAGCATCCAGCACTGCTCTAGGTTGCTTGTCAAAGTGTATGGCAGGCTGCAGTGGTAGCCATGTTCTGCACATTTAGGGACAAGGGTCCGAGAGCGTTCAGCCCTAGCCAACTGCTGCCTGCTATAGGCTTTCACAAGATGCCTGCAGCATTGCTGGGCGCTGCCCCTGTCCCTACCAAGAGATAAAATGCCGGGAGAGACACACTGCTCCTAGATGGCCCAGTGTGCAAGAGATCTTGGTGTTTACACACACTTCCACAAATCAAGACTCATTTCACAATGCTTGCAGGCAAAAATAAAAAGGAGGAAATATTTCACTTTGGTTAAAGGACTTTAAACTGCTAATGTAATGTCATTTAAAAAAAATATAATATAAAGAAAAGTGCATTAAAGCAAAAGAGCAATTTAGAGAGAGAAGGATTGAATGTGTAAAACTATTTCCAATCCTTAAAGTGATTCTAATGGTTCACTTATTCTTTAATAACAAACGTTATACTTTCCTGCTCTGTGCAGAGGTTTTGCACAAAGCAGCCCCAAACCTCTTCTTCTGGGGTCCCCCACCACTGCTCTGGGTTACTCCTCCCTTCTGAGTGCCCCCAGAGCAAGCCATTTGCTATAGGAGAAACTGTGTGGGCTGGGGGGTTGGGAGCTAATCTTGAAAGGTCTTTAAAACCCCAATCCAAAAAAGCTGGGTTACTGTGTAAAATCTACATAAAACACAGAATGCAAGGAGCATGCAGAATGCAAGGATTTGCAAATCTCATAAACCCTTATTTTATTCACTTTAGAAAATAAATCAAAATGTTTAAACTGAGAAAATGTACCATTTTAAGAAAAAAAATAAAGTAATTTTGAAATTGATGGCAGCAACACATCTCAAAAAAGCTGAGACAGGGTAGCAACAAGCTAAGTGGTACCAAGAAGGAAGAATCGGAAGAACATTTTACAACTACTTTGGTTAGGGTAGGTTAACTGGAAACAGGTCAGTAACATGATTGGGTATAAAGAGTATTTAGAGAGTCAGAGTGTCTCAGAGGTAAAGAGAAGAAAGTCACCCATCAATGTCAAAATTACCTTATTTTTTTCTTAAAATGGTACATTTTCTCAGTTTAAACATTTGATATGGTTTCAATTTTCTATAGTGTATAAAATATGGGTTTATGAGATTTGCAAATCATTGCATTCTGTTTTTATGTAGATTTTACACAGCATCCCAACTTTTTTGGAACTCTTGTATCTTAAAAAAAAAAAACCTTAAGCCTTTACAACCACTCATAATTTATTTAAACTGGGATGTCAGACTGTTTATATGAAAAGAAAGCAAACAGCCTTGTCTTGGACTGTCAAACTGTCTGAATGTAGAAACTTAGATTTTACACTGGTCAATAAATGCAGCATTTCACAACCAGCGATGAGCAAACTGACTGTTGCCAATACATGTTATTAGGAATGCACTGATATATTGGCGGCCGAAAATAGTTATTTTGCCAATAGGAAAAAATGTGCCAATAATGGCCACTGAAAACGTTTGTTACCAACGGTTTTACCACGTTTAGGGTGTGTTTTTCATAGGTCATGTGACAAAAAAAATGCATCAAAAACGCAACACGTGTGCATTTTCAATGCATTTCAGGCCTGGTTCACACCAATGCAATTAGCATTTTGTCTATTTTGCAGTGCGTTTTGCATTTTTTGTACGCATGTTTTTGACTTTTTTTATGCATTTTATGTTCTTTGAATTTTTTTTTTTGGGGGGGAAGGGACACGACTTGTTGTTGGGCAGATAAAAAATATGCAACGCATCAAAAAGGCAACACGTGTGCATTTTTTAAATGCGTTTTCAATGCATTGCAGGCCTGGTTCCCACCAATGCAGTTTGCGTTTTGTAGTGCCCCTAATTAATAACAATACCAAAAAAAAAAAAAAATCAGCAAATTTTGCTCTACATTCCCAAATGAGCTTGTATTGCCAGGCCAGCACTTACAAACCAGCTGGCTGTACAGCTTGACTTGTGAAAAGCCAGTTTAATTACAGGATTGCGGAAATTAACTAATATAATTAAGGAAATATATGTAATGTGACTCCAACATTCATATTTTGGTGTAAATCAACAGATTTCTACTTTGAGACACTTCCAAAGAACGACATCTAAAACACACCTATTTAACTGGGAGCAATGCAATAGTACAGAGCTCATAGAACATCCCTATCAAATACAGTGATCATTCAATTGTTCATGTTCAGTAAAATTGCATGCTGTTTTAAAACAGACACATTTTTATCAATTCAAGGAATCTGGGGCTTATTTTTGGAATGGGAGTATAGCCATGGGAACTGCTCTACTAGTCAGCATTTTATCCTCCATCAATCACCCCCAAAAATAAAAAATTCCCTAAAATAATCCCTAAAAATAGAACCACTTTACTAAAGAGAGACCATACATTTCAAGTGACACTAAACATCATTTTTTTAAGATATCAAAAAGAAAGTCTAGATATCATATAGTTTGCTTCCTTTAAAATGTGCCTTTTTTCCTTAGACAGTCCCTGTACTGCTGCCTCTCTCCCACCACACCTGTTTGCAGGTGTCTCATTTATTTAGTAGGCTGCCAAGGAAATACCTGTGTGTGCACGCTGCCATCCAGGGCTGTGTGTGTCTGTTGAAACACACAACGCCCAGAAAGCCACAGAACTGCTCCCTTTCCTTAGACGTCTGCTGAAACCAATTGCTCCCAAACACTCACAGTCTACTCTACAAATCGGAAATTCACGGAACACCACGACTGTAAGGCACAGTAGGTAAGTGTTTTGAGAATAGGAAGGGTTGTAAATGAACTGGGACTTTTTTTTTTTTACCATAATGCTGTAAATGCAGTACGTTAATAAAATGATTGGGCTTTAGTACTACTTTAACTATACCTAAAAATTAGTTCTTGACATGTAATCCCTTCTACTTAAAACCTAACCCTGGTAACAAGCTCCTAAAACCTAACTATTTCCAACATAATCCCGAAAAGGAGCTGAACACGAACCTAAATTGTTGTAAAGACAGGACATTTTTAACCTTAATGCACTTCCTGGATTAAGGTAAAAAAATGCATCATTGCTTATATCCTCGCCCCCCCCCCCCCCCCCCCGTTATACTTACCAGAGTACTATCTCAATTCAGAAGGGTGCCCAAATGCAACAGCGCTGCTTTCACTTCCTCTCCTCAAATGGGAACCATTGGCTCCTGCTGCTGTTAATCAAATCCTGTGATGAAGGAGTGATAGGCGGGGTCAAGCCAAACTGTGTGTGTCTATAGATACACACAGCCCAGTTTGAAAGAGAACTCACAGGAAGCAGCCTTCTATGGTGGGGCACAGAGAAAAGGAGAATTCTAGAAGGGACCCCAGAAAAGGGGGTTTAGGGACTGCTCTGTACATCCTGTTTATTAGTTTAAGAAAAATTAAGCTTTACAACCACTTTAAACACAAACTAAGCACTAACGATAACCCTTATTCTGCTACATGCTCATCATGGAGGCCTCTATGTAATCAGTCCCAAGCACAAAGCATGCAGCACCAAAAGAAACTGTCCCAATAAAAAAAAAATTGTCAAAATTGTAGCTGGGCTCCTTATACATACATCAAATATTTAAACAATTCTTCACTATGATATATAATAAATCAATAAAAAAAAAACTAAATACATAGTCACACTAAACACCGAAACATGCAGAAGCATCAGCAAAACTTAGACTCCTTAGGTCACTACTTCTGCACAGCTTATCCAACAAGCAGCAACATACTACCTACGGGAATGAAGTGAGTGGGCTGGGTTTCTTCAAGTTTATTCTTCAACCAATCAAAGTCCTGGTACCTTCGGCGTATGGAATACTCAGGGAAGTCAAACTCTACTCGTGTTGTCTGGGAAAAAAAAAAAAGGGAAAGACACAGAGGTTTTTTTTCTCAACTTACATCAACTGTGTTTTCACAATCCATTCCTAAATGCAAATATGCAAAAGCTCTGTGATGGTGCTGACCAATTATTATCGTTCTGATCCTTCCCGTAAGCACTGCACAGAGAAGAGAGGGGACTTAAAATTCCCATACCACTGCACCAGTTGCATGGGCAATGACAGCTCTGAATCCTAGGAGGTGGTAAGTACAGCGGGGACCAGGAGAGGGGGGGCAGGATGTACGGTGTTCATTCACCTTTTTCATTTTGTTCTGTAAAAGGTAAGCCAACACTTTAAGCTGACCTTGCATTAATAGATTTTTTTTTTGCTCAATCTGTGGGCTGAACGAAAGCATACTAACAGATTCCTCCATCCATACTGGGCTGGGCTAGCTTACAGCTGAATACCCAATTAGTGCCTGCAGCGGATTGGCTGAAGGCTCCGTTCGGCCAACAGTATTTGGACTAGCTCCTTCAATGAAGGTTGATTGAGTGACCTGGCATTGTTACAATTTTGGTTGTTTCCTCTGAATTCGTTGAAATTCTAACAGTGCATGACCAGCTTGAAGCCTAAACACTATTCTCCTGGAAGGAGACAGCAGCATTAAAAACATGCAGAAAGCTGCATTTTTTAAACACAAATAGGCGCATCAAGCATTTTGACATTCATTCATTTTAATGTCCAGAAAAATAATTTATTATGGCTATGCTGTCCCACTAACAGCCGACAGCTAGCTAACAAAAAACTGACAGAAGCAGCATTGTGTTTAATTCCAAAACTGAATTTTCTTCTGTGAACAGATCTGTAAAACTGCAATACAATCACATAAACTGAAGTTACAATATGCTTGTACACATTCCCCTCAGAAACCCAAACAATGGACACATTTCTTACAAACAGCTACCTACAAATCACATTGAATACACTGAAATGCAATCTACTTTCAATCTTTTTATTATCACAAGTACAGAGTTCAGAAACAGATAATTTAGTAAGAGCAAGAATCAATACCATAATATTTATTACAATAGTTAGTATGAGGCCGAGGCCCTGGCTCACATTCATGGGAAATAAAGGGGATAACAATGGCAAATCATAGGCAGGAAGACCAAAGAAACTGTACATTACAGTGTCAGGGTCCCCTAGCAGGAGTACTACCTGAGAAGGTCAAACTACGATCAGGACTAAAGGGCCCAGGCCGTATCTCCAATATATACCACGACTCGGCCCTGAAGAGCCAACTAAAATAAACCGAAATAGGCCATAGCAGATAAAAGAGAAAACGAAAGGAAACAAAAAAAGAAAGAAAAGAAAGGAAAGGGGTGGATTCCTGGAGGAGGGGAGGAGTATGGCTCCAGTCTGAAACTCCAGAAAGGAACCTCTATAAATCCACATGAACATATTTTTCCCAAGGTTCCCATATTGCCTCAAATCGTTTGACAGCATCAGTGAGCACACTAGCAAGCTGTTCGTTCAACACTATCCAGGAGACCTTATGTCTGTACAGTGACATAAAGACCGTATGTTTTTTCCAAGATAGGCCATATCATGAGCTTGGATGCTAGGAGCATTAAAAAAAAAAAAAAAAAAAAAAAAAAAACACAGCTCTTTAGCGTGGTAGGTCCTCCACTGGATCATCCAAAAGTGCAATACGGGGTGACAGTAGGACCGGGGGCCCAGTGACCTTGCGATCAGAGAAAAAAAAACTCTCTATTCCAGAATCCATGTAGTTTTGGACTCTCCCACCAGAGATGATACATCGAACCCAGTAACCGTCAGCCCCTAAAACAGAGGGAAGTGGAAGTCAGATATAGCCTCGAAAGCAGAGCAGGGACCATATACCATCTAGTCATTACCTTTATATTTTCTTCCTTAAGGGAGATATTAAGAATGCCTTTATAGGCCAGGTGGAAAATAGATCTCGCCTCCAAGAAAGATATAGAGCATTGGCTTTCTGAGTCCCAAGCACTCATATAGGTGAACTTACCAGTGGAAACAAGCAGCAGCCTGTAGATTGTCAATATCCCTCCCCTATGGCCTGTGTCCTGTTGTGCACTAAGATGCATAAGCAGTAACTGCGGGATTATTTGTTACTGCAGAGCCTAGAGAGCGCAAAAGGTGTGCAATTTAAAAAAAAATGAAATGTTTCAGAGAAAGGCATTTTTAGTTTGGATTGATAATGCTGTAAGGTAAAAGGGCCGCTAGGAGTGAGAAAATGACCTAGTCGGTAAAGGCCCTTATTTAGCCACCACCGGAAGGCTTCAGGTTCAAGACCCAGAGGGAAGCAGGATTATTGAAAAAATGGGTTAATGCTTTAAGGGGGGATTATTCAACTCTTTGTCCCAGACACTCAGTGAGTTTGACAGGGTAGGGGCTAGGATTGGCATTCGCAGTTGATGTGGCTGCCATTTGAGAAAGTCCAGAGGGACCAAGTTTAGCTGCACTTCGTTCCATAGCTATCCAGTCTGGTTTTTCAGAGTGGGAATATACCACTGAAAGTTGAGCTACCTGGGCAGCTTGGTAATAATGCAACAAGTTGGGGAGACCCAGCCCCCCAGCCGTTTTATGAGCAAAGAGAACCTGTTTGGATAGCTTGTGCCCCTTACAATTCCAGATGAGGCAAATGAGTTTGGCTTGAAATTTAGCCAATTCCGAAGGGATTATAGCGATCGGCAATGAGCGGAAATAATATAGATATGCGGTAGTAATTTTAATCAAATGGATACTGCCTAGGCAGGATAGATCTTGAGTCGTCCAAACCCGTAAATCCTCTTCTAGTTTTTTTTAAATAAATGGTGGATAATTGAGCTTGTACAGGGAAGATATAGAGGGTGTCAGACGGATTCCCAAGTAAGGGACACTGAAATGCAATCTAGCGATGTATGTGACTTTAACACGCACAATGAAAGGACTTCCAGGCATATGTGTATCAAAGGGAGGAGTGAAGCCTTCACTGGTGTGTTCTTCTGGAAGATAAATTGGAACTGGACTGATTTGTGAGTGAAACTTCCGGTTTCAGAAAAGAATAAACTGCAATTGCAGTGAACGCCCAATTTAATACAATCCCTACTTAATACAATGACGTGAATACAGGACGATGGCCTTTGAAATGAACGTTCAAGCACTGAATGTCTCTAGGGGTTACACCTCAGTCACACTACTCCAATTTCAAATTCATATAGTATTCTGACTTGGGATGCGACTTGCAAGACATCTGCGGCGTAAAAGTTGCACCTAAAGTATTGCATGCACTACTTTAGAAATTGGTGCGGCTCCGATCAAGTTGGAATCGCACAGATATGACCGCTGTAACTGCGGACAATAGGGTGCAACTTGCCATGCAAATCTCTAAACGCTTACGTGTGTATGTACACATAGGCTAACATGAAGTGGTGTTATAGGCAGGGAAAAAAAAAAAAAAAAAAAAAAAAAAAAAAACCTCAAAATGCCCTTAAAAGTATTTTTTTTTTTTTTTTTTTACACCAAGTGTGTGTGATGACAGCTATTGTCATTTACATGAGTGGGGAAGAGGTTGACATTCAGAGACAATATGCCTTGGCTTTCATTTTTTTTTTCCTAATTCTTTATGTTGCCATAGTACATTCAGAAACATACGTGTACAGTATATTTGTAAACATTTTCAGTGATAGATTTCCATTAGCATTCAGACATGGGGGAGAAGCACAAAAATAATATACTTTAACATGGCAGAAGGCATATCGTCCTTGTATGTTAAAAAGTGTTGATGAAGTTGGAATGGCCCAATATTAATCCCCGACCAACTGCTAAACACAGCAGTTACTACTCAGACGACAGTGCAGATTCTCCTGATTTTTCCAGAGCCATGGATTACATGCTCATTTACCTTTTACAAGTGTCACTTTCTTACTAGTTGCTGCTTAAGTGCTAATGGATTATATTTGATAATTTAAATAGCTTTTACTTTAAATAACATTCATTCTTTCAATCAGTGTTTCATTGGTTTACCTTGGTCATAATACGATAGGTTATATAAGTTTCCATAGTGCACACATGCTTCTTTGGGTCATCAACAGTAACAAAGAGGTCCCTTGTCTCTCCATCCATGTCATCATCTAGTTGTAGCCTGTTAAGAAGTGAGGATGATGATGCTGGACTTGAAGTATCTGCTGGGGTACCATTGGGTAAACTGAGATCCTATAACAAGACACAAAACAAATATAGATTATGAAACAAAATGCAAAATAAATCACTGTACATTAAGCAGCATCAGGCACTGGTACCTTACAAATTCAAAAATCCGGAAATCTTTGGATTTTCTACCATAGGACTGTCAGTGTTCACAATACAGTATAAACACACTCCCTCCCTGTATCTAGCTTCAGTTTGGTAAAGGAAATAACAAGAGAGGACAATGCATAAGTCAGCAAAATACCCACAACAAGGAGCTTGTTTTTTTTATAGCTTGAATGTGCCTAGACTGGAGCAAAAAGGCACAGAAAATATGGTTTGGTAAAGTTCTAAATGACCGTAGAAAGACTACCCATTACATTAACATAATACTGCTATGGAATTATTAATATATAAGATTTATATAGCACCAACAATCTGCGCAGTGCTTTACAAACTTTACTCGGGTAAAATAAATGTGTCATGGCTAAAGGAGAAGTCTTTGTTGTACAGAAAAAGGCCTGCATACATATAATGGTACAACACAGTGTCAGGCCGTCAGAAAAGCACGAAGAACAATATACCCATCCTTTATGTGACCAGCTTTACTGTACAATGAAATGACTAGTTGCTATAACACAAGTAAACACCATTGAATTCAAATCAACAAATGAAAAGATAAACCTTAAAGTGTTATCAAACCCAGGGCCCTGCATTTACTATATCTGGTTTCTCACAGTACACAGAGCAGGGAAAAGAAATTATTGTAGTAAATATAAAACTGCTAAAAACCTTTTCGCATCAGCAATATATAGCAGTCTTGTGACTTCTATCAGTGTCCAGCTAAGCACTGGGTAAAGCTTGCAGGAGGAGTTTTCATTCTCCTCTGTCTGATAACAGGCTGCTAGTCCCCCTAACCCTCTGTCTGGACAGTGCTGATTGGCCCTGTGCCGATCATATGCACCCTCCAAAAAATAAAAAACCCTTCTAGTATTTAACACCAAACTGAGCATGTGCAAAGTGCCTCCTAGGGCTCTGTACTATCAGCAGATGGATTGGGGACTGTGGAAAAAGGGAAGAATCAGGAAAACCGGAATCAAACAGCCTTTTTACACAATGAAGAAGATTAACCCCTTAGGTTCCACAGTGAGTATAACAAGCATGCTTTACTGTATATACAGGCTGATTTTACTGTTGTAGGTTTAGTAATACTTTAAGCTTGTCAGTCAAGACCAGTATAGGTGTAGGTATTACAGGTTGCCTTCTATTTAATAAGTTATTGAACAAAACAACATTATTAGTGGGCCTGTGATTTATTTTCACTTTATTAGGGGCACAACTTTTCATACTTCAGATTTTCAATTGAAAGATATTGGGTGGTAGGGGGCCAACAGAGTCCCCCACATAGCAAATTTCACATATTGTATTGGCCAGCTTTACCAGCACAGGCAGTTATCAGGGCATAGCCAAGAGGTTTGAGAAATTCAAGCCCTGGAAACAAAGAAAAGCTAAATCAGAGAGGAGCAAATAATAGGCTTTTTGGATATTGATGGTAATAGAAGCCTCATTTATATATGAGATTAATGCCAGTTGCCCCAAGCTCCCAGCATATTCCTGTGGCTGGATTCACAGGTAGTGGCAGACAGATGTGGCCGCTCCGCCTGTACAATGACAGGCTGACAGGGGCCACCGCTATCTAGGTATTCGCATGTCTAATTGCCTCTAATTGCCGGCAGTTAGGCCAGCCATAGATGGGTCAAAATTCGACCGATTTTTCGTCCGAAAATCGTACCCAAGAATAATCGGCAGATTTTCGCTCTGTTAGTGGGTCGATGGCACCAGCCAATTTTTGTGGTTCCTCCCCTTTTTGGTGATCGGGCATGTTGGAATGTTTGTGAAAAACTACTAATTTTTGACTCAATGATTGTCAAATCGTACGATCATTTTCCCGAAAAGATTATGCACATGAGCAGTGACCTGGAAGGAACAGAAGTTTCGCCTGTTATATGAGGTTAACTTTATGGTCGGCTGATTTTCTAAATCATTGATGGCACCATCGAAATACCGAGTGAACTACGTTTTCGATTTTCAGACGAAAAATCGTTCGGAATTCGAACCATGTATGATCGCCCTTAGTTGCAAACGCTTGCATTCAAGGGTGATCATCTTCCCTAACTGCAGGTAATCAAACTGCTCTATGTGTGATTACATAAGAACACTCGGCGACAGCGGGGGACACTTTTTTGCTTCGTAAAGGCTGAGCGGACGCAACTATCCTCATCTACTCATGAATCCAGGTGCAGGAATACACTGGATACTTGTCGCAACTGTCACTAATAGCATGTGTGCATGAGGCTTTATTTTGAAAGTTTAAAATAGCTGACCGCTTCATTTTATAAAAAGTATGTAGAACAGTTTCTACTAAGCAAAAAAAATAAATAAATAAATAAAAATCACACTTCCTCTAAACTTTAAACATTGTCACAAGACTGCTTGACCTGGTTCTCAACATTCATGTCATTGAACAAATATATTTCAAGTATACGAAACGTATAAAAAACCCTACCAACTTCTTTTAGCTCCCATTTGGTCTGCTAGATATACCATATTTTTTTTTATATATAGATTAGTTTGAGGAGTACCAAAAAATGCATATGATCCTGCCAGAAATCATGTGAGCTGATAAATTCCTGGACAGTCTGCTTATGCTGTTATCAGTTAAAGAATAAGTTCACCTTTGGAACATGTTACATCCGTTTTTAGGGTGGAACTTGTAACATGTTCCCATATCTGCAGCCGTGCCCTTACAGATAGTATGGGGAAACTTCTCCTGTGAATGAGTGCCTACAAGTCCCAGAAGCCTTAGCGGCTGTCGGCTTGTAGTTTTCAATCAACTACCACGGAGCTGTGGAGCAGGGTGCAACATGTTCCAATAGCGGCAGCTGCCACCCCCCCCTCCCTCTGACAGATTAGTATGGGGGGACTTCTCTGTTCCTCTTTCTGTCAAATTTGAATACAACGTGGCCATGCAGAGCTCCGCCCACAAGGCCACATCATTCATTCACTGACTTCCGTGGATGAATGAATGAACTGCAAAGTCCCGGCAGCCTTAGCAGCTGTGGGCTTGTAGCTTCCCCTCAGTATATCTGCTTGCTCGTACATCACATAGGGCAAGCAGATATTCTGACAGGTCTGCAGGAAACCTGTATGGCATCAGCGATCTACTGATCGCTGCTGCAATGCTTTACAGGCTCCTTTGGACAAAAATAATAAATGCACATTTCTTTACCTGCAAAAAAAAAAATGTACATTTATTATTTTTGTCGAAAAGGTGAACTTATCCTTTAACATTATTCCGACCTATCTCTGAGGACTACAGAACACATATCATTATGTTATAGAGAAGAGGAGAGGGGGAGATATAGTCCTAATACACTCCATAGACACAGTACCAAGAGTGAGTGTTGGGGAAGAAAGTGTGTTACTGGCAGGATTAACAGGGGCCAAAAAAATAAATAAATAAAGCAAATGCAGATGTCACATGCACTGAAGCATGCTATAAGAAAGTAGGTATTTTGCATTTGCAGAGCAGAGCAGGCACTGGCCAGAGAGGGATTACTTTGACACAGTTGGTCAAATTAAACACATATTGCAATGTACCTGCAATATGACTTTAATGTGGTTGCAGTGTATTGAGAAAGTCTGAAGCAGTCATCCCTGACCCATAAGCAGCCAGACTGTATCTGCTGAAATTGCAGATGCTGCAAAACCTGTTTCTGGATTAACAAGGCTGATATGCTGAGTATTAAAGTTTTGAATTTACCATCTGATTCCAAACAGCAAAAAATGGTCCATTCAAACAACACCACTGAGTAGAAATCCCTTAGTAAAGGGGTATCTTGAACCTCAGCTAAAATGGAAATATGTAAATTTAAGGCGGTATTAAGCCCAAGACCAACAAATGTATTATATTACAGCTTACCAATCAATAGATGTGGTAGCTGCAGTGTTTTTATTTTCTTTTGGCTATTTCCCTCTGTTTTCATCTGGTGATCTGGCCAATAATACACCTATTGTATTAGAGTGTCCCCACTCCGGATGAATGAGCACAGGAGACACAGCAGACAGTGACATTGTCAGTCTGGGGGGAGAGGAGTGTTAGATGTACCAGCAGATTTGAATACAATAACAAAATTGAAGCCAAACTACAACTCACACTTTATAATTGGTTACAGCAAACTTTTTCCTTTTAACTCACCTCTACCAGCAGTAAATGGTTTGTCTCATGCATGCAATATGCTTGAGAGCTTGGCTTTTGAGAAACAACAGACTTGCTGGCTAGATTACCAGATGAAAACAGGAAAATACAGCCATCACATCTAAGAATTGGTAAGCGGCAACATAATAAAATGTTTGCTTTGCAGGTTAGTATTGCTTTAATTTGACAGATTTTATGACAACTCTAAAGTGTATAAAAGTTCCAACTAAATAAATGAACTCTGGTTCTAAAAAGCCACCATAGCATTTCAGAATAGACATAGATTTTTTTCCCTGACTGTGCACACAAGATTTCTGCTGCCAATCATAGTGTAATTAACGGAGAGCAGAGGGCTGAAGAACTTATTGGCGCATTTATTTTTAGCTACACTGCTCTCATGTGGGTGACAAATTGTTTAGTTCCCAGTAGCTTTTAATCCTGTATGTAAGAGAGACTGCGGTCACAAGAGTGACAAGGTAGGGAAAGGCAGCCATTTATCACTGCCCCTTGCAGGAAATAAACCAAAACACAAACAGTATAGTACAGAAGATAGCCCAAGCAGTACAAGCTAATCATGGTTTAATATCCTTTTATCTCTATAAGAATATGTAGCTTAAAAGGAGAAGAAGAAGTACAGCCAAAGCTCTTTCACAGGAGTTCGTTCTGCACTCCTGTGAACCGCTGTCAGCTGACGTCACTCAGCCGGTTCCTGGGGAGAGATCCCAACTTCAAAGTCAGGATCCACCCTAGAGTCTGGAACGCCACCTGGCT